CCTTCGGAAACAGGGCGAGTTGCTGCTTTGTTATTTATAGATCAGATGTTTGTCTCAAACACAGATTGTGTTTGCTGTCTCCATCCAACTGTATTGGCTCATTGTAATTCTCCAAGATAAGCTCCCGAGATCCAGCTTTGTGGCTGGAATATAAACCTCCAGCCTTCCTTTCTCTAATGCAGAATTCACTGGATCCTGATTCTGGTTATCTCTGCGGACAGGTATCTCTGTGCATGGTCGTGGTTTTATCCTGCCTTGTTGTGAGGTGCCTCTGAGGCTGCATGGCTGAGGGAATTTCCTGGTGTTCATCCATCTCGTGGCTCATCCTAAACTGGTATCACTGTGGGTTTGGTTAATTTTTTCTTTGCTGCTTGAGCTTTTCTTTGACTGGTAGGAGGAGACATTGTCTTGGTGTGATTTTTAGGGTCCCAGATGTTTTCTTGGTGTGATTTTTAGGGTCTGTGTGCTGGTCTCCTTGCAGAGTGTTCCTGTCTGCCCACCCAGACAGCACAGACGTCCCCACAGCCGTGTCCCCTCACGAAGCAGCTGCCAGGGCACAAGGCTCTGCTGTGTGCGCGTCACCGGCGGCTTTGTTGTGTGACGGGAGAGTGAAGAGGGGGTTTGTGTAGTAACAGTGGAGGTTTCATTGAGGTCTCGAGTGCCTTAACATGCCTTGTGTGTACAAACAGGGCTCTGTTGGGTCCTGGTGTTGGTGCAATGGCTGATGGCAGTGCTGGGTGTTGTGTCCTTACACAGCTGCCCTTACAGGAGGAGCTTTGTGCTCCGATGGGACTTGCAATCAATCATCCCAGTGATGTAGACCTGGTGCAGTGATATTGCCTCTCTGAGCCTCTAAACCAGCCAGGAAACAGCAGAGCTGGTGGCTGGTGTTTGATCACAGTTTCTATTAGCTCCTTCAATAGTGACCTGGATTTCCACCCGTGGGTACCAACACAGGCATGTGTTGGTGTTCACTCTGTGCCGTTGGCTCCCACAGTGCAGCACAGGGACCAAGCCACTGTGCCTCTGCACAGGGGCATCTTCCAGGCAGAGAGGCAGCTTGCACAGGGAACAGGGTAAAACAGTGCTGAGAGAAGGCTGGAGTGGGTGAGAGCAGCAGCAAGTCCAGAGCAGGCTGCCTGCTTGTCGTTACGTGCACCTCTGCTCTGTGCTGAGTAATGCCCTAATTAAAACCCACCCAGAGACAGAGGTGGGAGCACGAGGGGGAGCTGAGCGACTCTCCCAGCCACGGTGCTTGGGGGCAGGGAAAGGTGAGCTGAGGACAATGCCAAGGACTGAGGCAAACCAGCTCCCTGATGCATTTTCGCTTCTCTGGATTATTGCAAAGCCGATGCTTCCGTTCCTGAAGTGCCTTTGGAATCTGCTCCCGTGGATGGCACAGGTAGCCTGGGGAAGCTGTGGGCACCTCCCACCTCTCTAGGAGAGGCTGCAGCAGGAGGAATGCCAGTTCCAGTAATTCCGTGGAGCTCTTTAAGAGCCTTCAGGCTTTTCCAAATTCCTAGTTTAGGACAAGATGAAAGCTGAGGGTGTGGAGGTGTTCTGACCGCCCAAATGGCCTTCCTTCTGCCCTCCCTGAGTCACTCACATGCCCAGCTGAGACCAGCCTGAGGCTAGTACCCTCCTTCCTCAACCTAGAGGAGGGAAAGGCTTTCAGGGTAGCTGAGGGGACCTGAGGCATCGTCCTCTCCTGTGGCATCCTTGCATTGTTGGTGTTTGCCTTTGCTGATTCCTGTCTGCACACAGGGAGTGTGCAATAAGAAGGCACACAAAATCTCCAGGTTATTCATGGTAGGGGCTGTGCAATATGTGCAAGTGCCAAAATAGTGCAGAGGGGGTTTTCTTTCTAATGCCCTGGGTTCCTAATCGTGTCCATGCTGCAGGATGGCAGCAGTGATGTTGTGTCCCCCTGTCTGGGAGCTGGCAGCCAGTGTGCTGCTGTTGGGTCCTCTCCTTCCAGTCTCTACTTCTTAAAATTGCTGAGTTAGCTTCAACAAACCGGTACTGGAAAGATAAAGTCACCGGATCCCACACACGCTCATCTCGATGGATTTTAATTAACCTTTTCCCCACAGCCCTGCTCTGTAATCCGGGCTAATTGCTGCAGGGATCAGAGCCTGGCACTGCTGCTCGGCCAGACAGAGCGAACCTCGGCAGCGGGTCTGCTGCCTGTGCTTCCAGCTGGGATCCATCGCCTCCTCCTCAGCCTTGCAGAGGAGATAAACTGCCTCCATACCAGAGATTTAATACTTTGCAGACCTGCTGCTGCCACTTTCTTTCCCCTGACAGGGAACTCTGGTTGGAGACAGATCAGTGTTCCTGCTGGAGGGACCCGAGCGTGGTCAGGGAGTGCACTCAGCCAAAGCCATCTCCTTGCACTGTCTCCTTTCTTTCGCTCTTGTGTCCCTCTCCCCTGTGTTTGATGGCAGCAGGACCCGTGTTAGCCCACGTAGCCGGTGTCTGGGGCCTGATGGATTGTTCCTGCTCAGGGAAGAGGCTGACGAGAGCATTGGCTGGTTCTTTGCTGATCCCCGTGTCCTTGCAGATGAGGACATGAACTCCAGTTTCCTTACACAGCAGGGATGTGATCCAAGCCCCACTCCCCAGCTCCTGCTGCGTGGGGTTCCTGCCCCCGTGGGCTCTGGCCAGTCCCCACGGCCGTGTCCGTGCTGGCACGGCAGAGCAGGCAGGCCATGGGCTTGGCACGCTCCGTCCTGGCACGGCTCTGGCTTGCTCAGAGTCAGCTGAAGAGAAGCCTGTATGCTTCTCATTTGCTTCCTTTGGTATATTAATTTCAACCAGATTTTGTCAGCTCTCCAGTAGGAAAATAACCCCGCCGTGCCCCAAACCGCAGCTCACGGAGTGTCACGGAGGGATTCGGCTCGTGCTGCTGCCAAGATGTGCACCAAGGGCAACGTGACCCTTCACAGCCATGCTCCTCCTGGCCCTGGGATCAGCTCCTGCTGCTTTCCCGTCCCTGTTCCTGGGTGACTCACTCACTGGCAAGCCTTGGGCACGCCAGGACAGGCTGGAGGAGCTGCCACTGCTGGGGGTGGCTGGTGGGTCTGCCCCCTCCCTGTCCCCGGGGACAGTGTTATTTTGGTCACACCATCATGCAGGGTATGTCTCAAAATGTCTCTGGCACTGCAGAGGAGATAAGTGAGGCTCCAGGAGGGCCAGCAGGATGTGGTGGGTTATGTGGGAGCACGTGGCAGTGAAGGTGATGGGTGGTTCTACAACCACAGTGTGAGGAAGGACTGGCCACTCTCCCAGGCCAAGAGGGGATTAGGCAGAGGGGATTGGGGTGGGGACAGCCTTTGGAATCACAGAGATTTAGAGGGTGAAAAGTACAAAGGGGGAAGAGGAGACATTGAGAGAGGAGATGTAAAATTACTGAGTGTGAGTAATGGGGTGAAAGTAAGAAGTTTATTCAACACATCACTAACTTTCTTGGACGGTAAATTCTCTACGGTTTCAGATTAGAGTTGAAGGGAAGCAGTGGAATAGTCATTTAAATTCAGACAGAAAACTTTACTACGCTATATAAAACCTTCCCAAACCCCAGTTTTCCTGTTCTTGAGCCAAACAGAGCCAGTTCTGTGTATTAATAGCTAATCCTGCCCATAGAGATGAGCAGCGAGTGCCTCAGGGGCTCTAGGGCTCTGCAGCATCCCAAGTGTTTAAAGCCTTCGCAGAGGAAAATTGTTTAATCAGGATTAGGTTTCTTTGCCCGACATCTCAGCCTCACACCACAGCATTTTTCCCCCTAAAAAGCCACTCTGGCTTTGGCTCACTCTTCAGAGAGCACCACTCAATGCTTATGTTTCACCTCAAAAATCTATTCATTTTCTTTCTTTCAAAGTCAAGTGCCTTGGAAAAAACAGGAAGAAAATACCAAAACCTTCTAAAAGGCTCAGTCCACTGAATTGAGCAAAGGGCTGGCATTACAGAAATCAGCCTTTTTTTCTGGGTTAATGGAGACCACAGCTGCAGTGGGAGCTCCCAGGAGGAGCCTGGCATGGCCGGGGCAGAGGGCATTGTGACTTCGCTGGGAGTCACTGGGACAGGAAGGGCAGAGGGTTTTGCATGAGCTCTGAGCCTTAGGTTTTAAAGTTTTAAGCAGTGAGAAGCCTTGCAATGAGAAGTGTTCTGAGAAAACAGTAATTTTGTGTTGTTACTGTGCAGCTCAGGAACACCAGGACACACAGGCATCACCTCTCGCACTTCGCTTCCCGTCCCGGCCCTGACCAGACCTTTCCTTGCTGCTCGCTGATTTTTGTGGCAATTAATCTGATTTACGTAAAATTACAGCCCTGGGCTCAGTCGAGGCTGAGTTTCTCCTTTCCCCGTGGTTTTTGGTGCCCTTTGGCTCCCTGGGGGGAGCAGTAGGTGAGCCAGAGCTCGCTCCTGGAGCAGTCTGGGCTCTGGGTGCTGCTGGGGGCTGCGGTGCTGGGCAGGTTCCTGCACCTCTGGCATGTAAGGACAGGGCTGGGTCCACGCCCTGCCGTGATTCACTCAGGAAATGTTTCTTTATCTCATCAGTAACAGTGTGGCTGGGGTGGCAGGATCGCTCAGCTCGGCTCTGGATCGTCCTGCTGCTGCTGTGGCCCCCTCGCTGGCTGGGGGGGCTGAAGGTGCAGAAAGTGCAGAGAAACACGAATAGACCCAAAGCAAAAAAGTGTAAAATATGAGTTAATCCATCATCTTGGAGCAAATGGGAAAGGTGACCATTGCGAGGTGACCAGACGGGGAAGGTTTATGCTGACTGACAAATAAGATGCATTTTTTTTTTGGTTGCTGTTCACCAGCTGGGGGCTTGTCCCTGTAACTCCACGAACAGCTTGGCTGATGGAACATAAGGAAATGGCCAATCTCTGCCTTTGTTCCCCAGGTCTGGAGTCAGGCAACAGAGGACCAATAATGCTGACCCCGGGCCCCCCCATGCCCACCCCTCTGAGTTTCTCCCCCTCTCTTTTTTGCAGATGTGGACGAGTGCCAGGTCCACAACGGGGGCTGCCAGCAGAGGTGTGTGAACACCCTGGGCTCCTACTACTGCGAGTGCCGGCCGGGCTCCCGCCTGCACACGGACGGCAGGACCTGCATCGGTAAGGCCCTGCCTGGGCACTGCCTGGGCACTGCTCGGGCACCTCTAACCCTTGTAGCCCTTTTTCTGCTGGTAAATCCATGGCAGTGTACAGAAAACACCTGCCTTGGCTTCCTCACTCCTCCCTGCCCTCTGTGCAGGGACCATGGCATGATGCTGGTGGATGTTCCTTTGTGTCCTGGTTGTCTTCCCCGGTATGTTTCTGTTGCTGGGTTCAGAGCATTTGCTGTTCTTCTGGGTGGTCAGGTACAGCTGTGGCTGCTCTGCAGTTCCCCAGTTTGTTCTGGTTCAGGAGAAGTGACTTCCAGTGCTTTGGTGCTTCTGCTTTTGGTTCTGGATTTATCAGATATGGCATTTTCAGAGCAGATACATAAACTAGATTATGAGGAGGTTCGAGTCAGGCTTCATTTTGACCTCAGCTATTTCTCCAGCCCACGCTGTGGGCACTGGGTATGACAGACAAGTGACAGTAAGTGTGGCTGTGTGTGGAACTGTGGCCATAATAATCCCAAAACCTCTTCCCTGGGATGCTGGTCATGCATCTGCCTGGACAGTGCATGTCCAAACATTCCCATCCAGGCACCAGGTTTGGGCCAATTTCTTGAAATATTTTTGTTTGCCTGCCCCAAACTGGAGGCTCAGAGTGGAACTGACTGGAACTCAGAGCCTGCCTCCAGCATCTGCTGCTGCTTTAATTAAACCACTTCTCCCTCACAGCTTTATTTGACACATTTTTCCGTGATTTGAGGGATATTTTCATACAAGTGGAAAGAATTCCCGGGCAGTGGCATTGCAGGGGCCGTTTGCTGGGTTTTCTCAGAGCACGGTCACGCTCCAGGGTTTTCTGTGCAAGCCTGAGTGTTCCAGCTGGGAAGGGTGATGTGAGCAGGAAAAAGCCATCCAGGGAAGCTGAACCCATCGTGCCCAGTGCTGCACAGCTGCACATCTGGCCACAGCTGCACATCTGGCCACAGCTGCCTCCACTACATGATGATACCCAAACAAGCACAGTGAGACTGAGGGTGCTGGTTCCCCAAGTGCCCCATGTTTTGCTGGAAAAATCCAGAAGCAGAAGGATCACAAGTAAAGGACAGTGCCAACCATCCCAGCCCTCTGCTGTAGCCCTGAACTCGAGCACTCGTGTCGGTGGTGACGGGCTGCTGCCGTTCACATGTAAGTGTGCTGTGGTCTGTCATCTCCTAATTGTCTCTGGAATATGCAGCTCCCTTTCTTGTGGTGTGCAGAGACTCTGCCGCCTCCGCCCCGTGGAATAAAACATGGGACAAACTGAAATCAGGAGTTCTCGGCAGCACCAGCCCCAGAAGGTGCTGCAGTTTTCGAGGAAAGGATAAAATGGATCACCATAGGGAGGAATCTCTTCTTTAAAAGGAATTTCCAACCTTTTCCAGGTTTACCTGCTGGGGTGGCTGTACCAGGCAGAGCATTCCCGTGGGATCCAGGAAGGCAGGGCTGCCCTGCTCCTGCTGCCTGCACCCAGCACTGCAAACCTGCTTTGCATTACACTCCTGAGCAACTGTTTGCCATAATGTGCAGTGTTGGGATTCATCTGCCAAAAGTGGGGGTCTCTGTTCATGAAACCTGATCCACGGGAGGATGTGGGGCAGTTCCTGAAGCTCTGGGGAGCAGAGCTGGCAGGATCTGTGTCGAGTTTGGTGGTGCCCCTGTGATCAAGAGAATGTGGGAAAGTAGATGCAGACCAGACAGGGCAAGTAAAAGCCTCTCACTGCATGGTTGTCCAGTAGTGTTTCTGAAATAACAACAGAGCAGGACCAAAACTCTGTCTCTCTCCTTTCAGGACTGGTGGCTTTTGTTCTTTACACATTTGTGTCTGTACATGTGTATATAAATCACACCTTCCTATAGCTCTGTATCGATCCATTAAGCCAGTTGTGCAGAGTGATGAAAGCTCAGAACAGAGCAGAGGCTCAGAAGTGACTCCTCTGTTGGTGTTTGTGGTTGCCTATTCTACCCACAGTTGTCAGGTTGCCTTGTGACATGGTCTGTTGGGAGAGATTAGGGATAACTGATCCAAGCGGTGTTTCTCTGCAGTTTGGGATGATATTCTCTCATTTTCTGGAGAGATGCTGCTAAAATATAAAATATTGCCACTAAATACAAGGAATAGGCCAGGAATGAAGGGAACTGGAGACAGCGAGCCTCCTCCGTCCATCCATCCATCCATCCATCCATCCATCCATCCATCCATCCATCCATCCATCCATCCATCCATCCATCCATCCATCCATCCATCCGTCTATCCGTCCGTCCATCCATCCATCCATCCATCCATCCATCCATCCATCCATCCATCCCCCTCTTCTCTGGAGCTCCCTGCCCTCAGAGGCTGCAGGAGGCTCCCGGCTCTGTGCTGGGACAAGCATGGAGCTGAGCTGTAAGAAGCTGCTGGCAGCCCCAGCAAGAAGTTTTAGAGAGAGAAAGAGCCTTTTGCAGTGATTTTTTCTAGTTAAGGTCCATCAAAGCACGGATCTAACTTTTTAAATGTTTTCTGATCCCCACAAAGCCACACAGGCTCCAATGATGAATCGGCGGCACTGCCTGGAGTGGGATGCTCCAGAATTCCCCCAAAATGTGCTGGCGTGGACAAGGCAGCTTTCCAGGGCTAGCTGGTACCTGGGTTTGTGACTCAGGAGAGCACAAAACCAGCTTAAAACCACCTTAGAACCTGTGTCTGGTTCAGTTCTCACACCATCTCTCCATCACTGCTGGTGCTCCGCTGGGCAGGATTCCTTTGTTGCGTCTTTGTGGTTCAGATACAGCAAGACACTGCTGAGGGAGGGAGGAGAGGAGCAGCCGCTTCTATTGAAAGTGAAACAGAACAAAAAGGGGCCTTGCACGTCCTGGAATTACCTCTGTGTTTATCAGAACCACATGGGCAGGAGGCAGGGAGCACATCTCCGGGTCCTCCTCCAGCGTTTCAGCGCAGGGATGCAGGCCAGGCCAAGGCAAGGGATTCAGTGGGAGCCAATTGCTTTTGTTGGCCTGTGGAGCGGAGAGATGGTCTGTATTAACACACAACATGTTTCTGGAAGTTGTCTGAGGTTAGGATAAATCAGTTTGGGATTACATGATGGATCCCTATTTATATTAGGAGAACTTCAAATGAAGCAATCTCAAATACGGCAGCGATGCAATGAACAGAAGGACTGTGCCAGGGGGGTTGTGTGGGCTTGAACTGTGTGTGCAGGGGGTCAGTGTCCACGTGTGCTTGCTGGGGCTTTTCATTTTGCAGACAACTTCCACATTTTAGAGAATTTGACCTTTTCTTTGCCCAGTCACACATTTTTCAGCCATTTCTTGGAAGTGATGGGTTTGTGTGATGCTGCAAAAGGGAACATCCCGCTCAGTTCTAGTTACAGCTGCCTGCAGTTATTCTTGGGGTATCAACTCACTGCTTCTGGTGGCAAATCAATTGGATCTGAAGGAAAGGGAATACAGATGGGAGAGAGGAGAAGTCAGAAGGGCAGCTGGAGGGTGCAGAGATCAGGTATTAAATCAACTCCTGTGTTAGGCGGCTACCGCACAGACCCACTTCCCCACGTGCAGTCAGTACTAACAACGTCTTTTTCATCCCTCTTTATCCATTTCCCAGCCCTGAGAGGGTCAGAATCCCAGAGCAGCATCTTTCAGCAGCACTGCACTCCCCTCAGACAGAGGAGATGGAAGGAGTGTCCCTCTCGCAGACGCTGAAATATCATCTGTGGAAAATCTGTCTGAGCTGTAATTACAAAAATGTGTGTGATGTACAAGATGACACTGGATTTGGCAGCATAGTCACAGAAACGTTAAGCTCAGCAAAGCATCTGGGAATGGAAATATTTTTAGAGTGGTTCTGTAAACAGAAAAAACCCGAGCAGTAATTAAAACAAGGCCAGCAGCGAGGTCTGCTGGCTGTGACTCTGAGGAGCCAGCTAAGGAGACCCAGAATGTAAGGCCCTAGCTTTGATGGAAAGACACCCAAAACAATTTTAGTTGTTTTGTCTTGTTATTTCTGCCTCTTATTGAATTAGTTCACATCTCAGCACAACTGGGGTGGTGCAGGAGCCCCCTGCCCATCAGTGTCACCGTGGTGGCTCAGTGTGACAGCACAGGACTCGTGGCTTGGCTGCACATCGTGCCCGTGCCACTGGCTCTGTATGGCTCACGTAGAGCCAGTGGTGCCAGTTGTCTCTTGACAGAGGAGAACTTCTGGTTCCCATTTTCCCAGTGGTCTGGAGTGGCCCCACCATGGCTGGGACAGCACCGGCCCCTTCGCCCTCCAGGGGAGGTTTGGGGGGTTTGTTCCTCTTTAGGAGTGGGTCTGTCAGCAAAGAGGTGACACAGAAAGAAACACAGGAGGGAGGAAAACACTCTGAGAGACCCCTGCACTCTCACTGCTTCCTTTACCTTTTGTGTTCTCTTAGCAGTCTGCACAAAGCTCTCCAGCATTACAGTGGTTCTCTCTGCTGAAATCTTGTGTGGAAGAAGAATCCAGACTTTAGTTTTTTCCACTCTGAAAGGCTGTTATTTAGACTTCAAATTCATCTGAATAACTGCATCCTGGGAGGTTATTTTAGATGTAAGATGCATTGGCTTGTTCTACGTTGGCCCAGTGCTTTTCCCAGATGAAGGAATGTTTTGGCAGGCATCAGCGTTGTTTTACTTCTTTTTTTTTAAAAAAGGCACTCTAACAAGCACATTATTTATGGCTATTTTTGAATATATGTTATTAAACACTTTAATATATTGGAATATTTTTAAATGACCACCCATCTCTGCTAGAGCTTGAGTAGTGTAACTCTGACCCAGAACTTTTCAGGAACGTCCCGTGTTTCTGTTGTTTCCTTCCAAATGGATTAAGGGAAACAATGTCAGCACAACTGACAGAAACCCCGAGTTCTCGCTCCAGCCGTAGGTTGTGTATGGCAAAACCTTGACCCTATGAAGTTGCTTTTATTCCCCCAAATGTTGTTCAGTTAATTAGAAGCATAAAATGGGAAGTTGGGGTTTTATAATGTTTGAAATGAGAGCGCTCTGCCGCTCCAAGTTAAGGCGTAATTTCTTGCAGGGGAACTGTGTGCAGAAAAAAGAAAATAGACGTTTTTGCCCTTTATTTTCCTCCTGAGCCAAATATTTGTTTTCACTAATGTACAAGAGCACAGACCCAACTTGCCTTGGGAATCAGAGGTGCTTTACAAGCAGAGACTTTTTCTGGCAGCTGCTTTCCAGGCTCGCCTGCTTCCAAAGCTCCGGAGGTTGCGGAGGGCACCGTGAGCACCTGAAGGATCAGCCTGGGAAAGATGGTTTTCATTAGAGGTATTTTTAGCTTTCTCATAAGATTCCTCAGAGCCAGCACATTAGTTTATACTGGAGTTTAAAAAATAGGTTAGAAATGTGTGAGCCCACAACTCATTGTACTGTTCTGCCGATGGAAACCGGGGCTGGACTTCCATCCCAGACCAGGGCCGGGTTTAGCCCGTCCCACTCACCCAGCTGTGGTGGGCAGCATGTTGTGACAGATTGGTGGCTCCTAAGAGACAGAACAGACTTTAAAGGCCAATTTCCCAATTCCCACAAGGGGCACTTCTCTTTGGAGCTGTCGCTGAGATGCTCAGTGGATAAGGAATAGCTGGATTAACTCAGGAGACAGTCAGTGGTCCAAGAGGAGATTTTCATCACTGTGGAGGTGTGTAATTACCCCACGATGGCTTATCTGGCAGTCCATGGATGCTGCTGCAGTAAAACAAGCAGGCAGGCTCAACCCACTGGCTCACTGAAAGGTGCACCCACCCCAGTTAAACATCCCGCTCCTCTGCTTATCCTGCAGAGACATCCCAGACTACAGGAACAGGGAGGGGGAGGAGAAGGCTGTTTCCAGGCCTGATTAATGATAGCAGGCTTGTAAGGAGTCCACGTGTTGGGTCATGAGGTCTGTTTTGTGCTGTAGCCCAGGCAAAACCTTCTGTTTTCTGACTGCTTGAAATCCTCTGGGCTCCTTGCGCAAGGCCACACAGAAACGCCGTGGCACGGCCAGGAACACCAGTTGGGAAGCTCAATTCCCTGCCTGCACTTGGGATGAAATCAGAGCTCTGGCTGGTGTATGTCTGGGTGCTCTGGCTGGGTGACACTGCTGGTCAAGCCCACGTGTCCCAGATTTCACACAGAACATCTGGGTCAGAGCCCCGAGCTGAGGGTTGTTATGGGACTTCTGCTCATCACAGAACCAGAAACTCAGTTTTCCATATCATTTTATCACAGGAAAACCTGAATATGCCTGAGCACAGCTCCCTGGGCAGTAATGATTTGAACTGGCTGTGGCACTGCACCTGCAGTGACTGCCTTGGAACAGAGTGATGGGAATTCCAGCAATAATGTGCTGACATGAGAAACCTGCTCGCTGACACGGGGCCCTTTGGAGAGGGTGGGTGCCTGGCAGGAAACGTGCCGGGTCCTGGCTTCCCTGCCAGGTAATGCTGCACAGGACCTAGACCAGACCCCTGTGTCCTGGTCTCACCTTCCAGGAGAGCAATGGGACCTCTTATGGTGAAAAAGAATTATTTGAAGTTCCTGCCCAACACTGTTGAACTGATCTTGCCTTGAAAGAACAGGGTCCCCATCCTGAGGGTCTCTCTGGCACAGGGCTGAGTGGCCTCTCCTGCACTGCCCACAGGTTTTTGCAGCAACACCTCCCACTTCTCGTTTGTGAGGCTGGCCATGAACTTGTAGCTTGAGCACAGGCTGAATGTGCCCCAGTTTTAAATCCTCTACATCCTAACAGTGTGCAGTTTGCCCTGGTCCTGCGCAGGAGGCTCATCTGGGTGCCGCTCTCTTTGTGACAAATGTTGTGTCCCTCTGCCCCGCAGCTGTGAACTCCTGTGCCCTGAACAACGGTGGCTGTGAGCACGACTGCGTGCAGGTGACGCTGGCACAGCACCGCTGCCAGTGCCGCCACAACTTCCAGCTGCAGGAGGACGGGAAACGCTGCGTCCGTGAGTGCCGGGGGCACGGGGGGCAGGGGGGCAGAGCTGCCATCTGGGAGCTGAGGGACAGGGAGCACACACCGGCACGCTCAGATGTCCAGCAGATCAGACTGGGGGGGTTTCCAGTAAAAACTCTGTGTGTTTTGTTGTCATGGACATATCCTGCAGCTTATTCCAAGGGATAGGAAGAGCTGGAGGAGCGCGGCCAACAAAAATGAAATTGTCTGAAGGCACAGGCTGCTGTGAGAGTGGAGGATCAGCAGCGTGTGGCAGCAGGATGGGATCCTCTCCCTCAGCCTGGAGACAGCTCTCTGGCTGACCTGCTCCTGGCTCAGGAGGGAGAGAAGCCAAAGGGGACAGAGCACAAGGTTGATCTCCTCGTTCATAGCAGCAGTCATTCAAGAGGCAGGAGGGGGGAAGTCTTTAGCTGTGAAGTTGCTAAAGGAGAAGGAACGACTGGGATATTACAGACGCAGCAGTTGGAGGGGTTTGGAGCATCTGTCCCGGTCCTGGAGCAGGTCAGAGGTTGGCAAAGCTCTGGGTAGGAGCACTCGGAGCAAATTGCCAGCACTTGCTGCGTAATGTCTGCAGAGGGACGTGCCCGTGCCAAGCTTCTGCTGGGAGGGTTTTACAGGATCTCTCACCGTGTAAATCCTCCTGCCCGATGGAGCAGTTAAGGGGCAGGAGCAGGGATTCTCTGCCCGGTGCAGAACAGGCTCTCACAGACAGCAGCTCCTCTGCCGGGCACAGCTGCTCGGGGCTCTGTTCTCCCACAGAGCCATGAGAGCCAGGGGGTGTGTGTGGACTGATGCTGCCTGTCTGCTCTGCTCTGCCCTGCAGTGAGGAACCCCTGTGCCGACGGGAACGGGGGCTGCCAGCACCGCTGCCATGGCCACCGCGGCCGCGCCCGCTGCGAGTGCCACCCCGGCTACCGCCTGGGGCCCGACGGCAAGGCCTGCGAGGGTGAGTGCCCTGCCCTCCTGCCCTCCTGCCCTCCTGCCCTCCTGCCCCGGAGGGAAACTCCTGTGTCGCAGGGGCTGGGGGGGTGTTCTGTGTGAACACAGCAGAGGGATGCACATGGCAGGGATCGCTTGGTTGGGGTCCATCCAGGAGCCCTGCTCGAGCTCTCTGCAGCAGCCCCCAGTTTCATGTGATCCAATTTCCTTGGGGACCCCTCAGCAATTCTGAATTCTTAACTGTGTCTTTGTTGGTCTGGACCCCAGTGAAGAATTCAGGGTGCGAGAAACCAGTTAAAAAACCTCAAAAGTTAGTAACAGCAGTCCCTTTGGAAGAATGTTTATGGCTCAGCCTGCCTTGCTCACTGTTTGCTCACCTCTCACAGATGTGAACGAGTGCCTGACCGGACTGGCCATGTGTTCACACCAGTGCCTGAACACACGGGGCTCCTTCAAGTGCACCTGTAACCCGGGCTACGAGCTGGGGGCGGATGGCAAGCAGTGCTACCGTGAGTACTGCGGGACACGGGGCGGCCTCTGCACGTGTTTGTCACTGTCCTCCCTGAACTGTCAGGGCCAAGTCAGAGCAATCTTTGCTGAAGAGTTTCACAGGCAGCTTTGGGGCTGTTTACTCCCCCACCAAGATAAAAAACTTGGTCTGAGCTTAAAAGTCATCATGAAGCTACTTTAGCCGGTTTAGGCAATTGATTTGGGGCCATTTGGCTCCAAACAGGCCAAGTTCTGCTCTTGGGGACTTCGTTGGACAAGTTCAGTCAGCTGCAGATGTGTCACTGGGGGAGGAATTGGGCCAGTGAAGGGATCACATCTGTTCCCATCAAGGAAAGAAATAAACACTGTGATGCAAGAGTGAGCCAGGCTGTCCGTGCAGCTTCGTTCAGCTGGACATGTTCAGGACAGGCTGAACCAGAGCTATCAGCACCAGCAGCCCCTTATAGATGTACACCACAGGGGCAGTCCCAGTGCTGGCAGCTGGTGTTACTGGGAGCTCTGATGCTCCACCTGTGCAGCTGGACCTTGCCAAGGGCACAAGGCTAAGGCTTTGCAGGCCATAAATGAGTCTTGAAAGGCATCACACAGAGCACTGTGAGGAACCAGGCTGATGAGATGGTATTTAAGAGTCTAAAGATGTACACAACTCCCTTCCTAGGAACATGGCTGGTCTTACACCATGATCATTGACACTGCTCTGGGGCCAACTACAGAACAAAGCAGCCTTCCCACATGAGAAGTGCTTCTCCCTGCCCTTTCTGCATGTTTCTTTTGTGCAAAACCTTGCTTGTGCTGCATTAATAAGAAAGGGAAAGAAAGGGATGATAATCATGATGTGAACTCTGGAATATAGTCCTCCACTGTGGCACATCTTTTGTTTCTGACAAGCACAGATCCATTGGGAAGCATCAAGCTGCCTTTCTTTATCCTCCTTGGGTCTGAACACATGAAAAACTCAATGTTCTTGAAGGCAGAAATTGTTTTCCTGAGGTTCAGGACTGAGTCAAACTCCGTGAAACAAGTTCCTTTTAGTTTAAGAAAGCTTAATTAACTAGACAAGTTTACGGAACCCTTGCCAAGCTGGGATGATCTATGGCTGCGATTGATGTTCGTGCCGACCATTTTTGACATGTCAGGAACTAACGATTCTCGCTGTAGGCATCTGGATGTTTCCCCAGTTAGCTGTGTTCTGCTGCTCCCATTTCTCCCTGGCACCAGAACAGCTCTGCTCTGAGGCTGAGCCAACTTTTGGTTGGCAGCACACGCTGCAGCTTGGCAGGAGCAGGAGCAGTTTCATCCGCAGCCTGTTCATCCCAGAGATTGTCCAGAGCCTGCTCCACAGCTCTGTCCCTAAGAGGCTGCGTGAGATCCCTCGGTTTCTTTTTATACTCCACTTCCCAGCCCAGCAGTGGCCTCTGTGCAGAGCTATTTCCATCCTTTCCCACTGCAGATCCCCCTCCTCAGCAGCGATGCGGTGCCAGGAGCTGGCTGGGGCGCGGCACCGAGGGCAGGCACAGGCCAGATGTGTCACACGGGGCCCTAACCAGTCTGCCTTTTCCAGGGATAGAGATGGAGATTGTGAACAGCTGCGAAGCCAACAACGGGGGCTGTTCCCATGTGTGCCACCACACCAGCTCTGGCCCAGTGTGCACCTGTAACTTTGGCTTTCGGCTGGAGGAGGACCAGAAGTCATGCACTGGTAAGGCAGGGAAAGGTCCAGACCTTGAGTTACAGGCACATCTCAGGTAACTCTGAGGGTCTCTCTTGGCTGCTGTGTGTGTGCACCACAAACAGGCTAAGGAGGATAGAAACAGATGTGAAGGGAGACATCCTCAAGCCTCCACTCAAGATATACTTGGACAGCAATTATGATTTCCAAACTAATTAGTTTTTCCCTGATGAAACTGCTCTAAGCAAGAGTCAGTGTTACAGCTGGGATCACCTTGTATGTAAGCACAAAAAACCTGTAAAAACAGTCTCAAACTGGGAACCACAGTGAACTTCCCACAGACCTTGAGGATTCATGATTCAAGAGGAACTCAGGAATACTGGCTTGGCATTTGGCTCAGTAAAAGCTCACCAGAACTGGTCAGGGAGTAATTTAACAGTTCCTGTCACCACTGTACAGTGTATTAACACCCTTTGTGTTTTATTTAGATATCAATGAGTGTGACACTGGTTCTCACTGTTGTCACCAAGACTGTTACAACTACCCTGGGGGCTACGAGTGCTCCTGCCATGCTGGGTACAGGCTGAGCACGGATGGCTGTGGGTGTGATGGTGAGTACCAGCCTCTCACTGGGCTCCAAGCAAACCCTCTCTGCTGAGACACTGACTAATGAAGCTTTTAATTAAAAGAACAAGAAATTGTCCTACCTGGTTGCGAGCAGCCAGGCATTTCTTCCAGCTTCTCCCAGCCCATATACCAGTTTTCCTGCCAGCTCTCTGATGAGTCACTTTCTTAGGAGGAAGAATGTAGGGAAAAATCCCCCTAATAAGTTGTTCTCACTACCAGAGCTCTCAAGGACATTTCACAGGGGAAGAGCCAAACTCACCCCCCTGTTTCAACACAATTAGTGTAGACGGCAACTGAAATGGAGCACATTTTATGTTGAAACCCAGATATCCCTAATCCCTGAAGTGGTTTCACTCCATATTTAGAGTCGATGGCTTCACATACTTAGCAGAGAGGATGCCATCAGCCTGCTCACTGCTGCATGGCCAGATGCATGTCCAGGCCCCTGTCCTGCACAGGGGGACTGCTCCCGTTACACCGGAGTCTCCCATGTTTTGTAGATGTGGATGAGTGCTCTTCAAACAACGGGGGGTGTGAACACACGTGCCAGAACCAGCCAGGGTCGTTCCAGTGTGGCTGTGAGATTGGACACAAGCTGGACGAAGACCGAAGGAGCTGCATCTGTAAGTGCCTTGTCCGTGGGGCCACGGGCACCTCCCCTCTGCCACCCAGCCGAGCCAGGACCGCATGGCCTGGAGCTCCTTAGCCCTGCACCTCCCCTTTTCCAGCCCTGGAGGACACTGTGGAAGCTCTGGATGGTCGGCGCCCCGTTATCCGCCCGATCCCTCACGTCGCCATCCTGCGAGATGAATTCACCCAGCTCTTCAACGACGACTACGAGGAGGAGGAGGAGGAAGAGATGGAAGCAAGAGGGGAGCACACGCTTTCAGAGAAATTCGGTGGGCATTTTTGGGCAGCAGGGGCCAATGCCATACTTGGAACTCTTCAGAGTTTATTTGTGTTGGGTGAACACACCCCCAGACCTGTCGAGTGCCTTTCCTGTGTTTGGCTTTGCTGCAACCGGAACACAGGGGTTTCCCTGCCCAAACTCCCAGGGATGCTGAGGCAGCCTCGGGGGGTTCTCACCCACGGTGCCTCTCGTTGCAGTTTGCCTGGAGCGCACGTTCGGCCCCGACTGCAGCCTGACCTGCGAGGACTGTGCCAACGGAGCCGCCTGCAACGCCGAGGGCACCGGCTGTGACTGCCCAGCGGGCTGGACGGGCACCCTCTGCAACCAGAGTGAGTGGTGTTGGTGGAGCGGCGAGGGAACCGCATTCCCCCTGCCCCGGGTTTGCCGTGGGGGCAGCCCTGGGGGGCTGGGGTAGCCCTGGGGGGCTGGGGCAGCCCTGGGGGGCTGGGACCGCCGGCTGAGCCCAGTCTGCCTCTCCCTGCCCAGCTTGCCCGACCGGCACCTTCGGCAGCAACTGCAGCCAGAGCTGCCGCTGCCAGAACGGCGGCTCCTGCGACCCCACCACCGGCGCCTGCCGCTGCCCGCCCGGCGTGGCCGGGGAGCTCTGCCAGGACGGTAAGCACAGCGCTCGTGGGGGGTCTCACCTTGCTGCCAAAAGGCAGGATGGCACCTCTGTGGGGCCCCGAAGTCACACACCAAACCCGGGACCCTCCCCGGCAGTTTTCTTTTCTCCCTGAAATGCTTTTCCATAAGGAAAAGTTCCCGGGGTGCCAGCTGTGAGTGCTGCTCCCCAGCTGGTGGAGGTGGTCCTTTTCTGGTTCTCTCAGTGTGTTAGCTGAGGGTTTGCCATCACTTGGTAAATGGCTGTTCTGGCCATCTCTGATGCCACTCTCAGATGTCCCAGTTGTGCTTCTCTGAAGCCTGAAAGCGTTTCCCACAGGATGCCCTACACTGGTCCCCTTGTAGCTGTTCACTGACAGCATCTTTCAACACTCTTGTTGAACCGTCCCAGTGTGAGCTGCTCCAACACATCCCTGCTCCATGTGACTCTGTGGGTCACTGAGTTTTGTGTGGAAAAATGTCATTTTAGTAAGGAAAAGGTGGTAAAGGAGACTGTTCACCCTCAGAGCAGTGCTCTGGGGAGTGTGCTTGTCTTTACACTGGAAGACCTTTGCGGTCCCTGTTCGCTACTCAGTGGTGACTGGGGGCCAACATCTGTATTTCATGGGACATTCAGGGGCAGACATAGAAAAGAATGTCAAAACCACAATTTCCATGGTAAATTTCCATGGAAACCATGGAGGTATTTTCCCCTGAAAAAAACCTGAAGTCCTGAAAAGCTGTGATGACAGTAGTTACCCACAGTACCCAAAGGAGGTGTCACTGCTGGTGGGGTTTGTTTCTCTCTCCCAAAGGGTTAAAATCTGGAGGACATAATCTAAAAACCCAGAAAGAGGGAGACAATCAGAGATGCAGACAAAAGGACTTCAGTCACATGTTGGGAGCATATGGGAACTATTACTGAAGGAGATGGAAGCAGAATGTAAATGAACATGAGGTACCCCGACCTTTCCTTTCTGAAGGAAGGGGGTGATTGAGGGGGACAGAGAGAAAACAGGAAGGTAAAATTAAAATAAACGATGCAGAATTGCTCTGTTGTCCCAGGGTGGCATTTCCTCTGCTCCTCTGTTTGTAGGGAGAAGGCACATGCTGCTGGGCAGCTGCTGGCCAGAGTCTTCTGCTGACACAGCCTGTCTGCCATGTGCTTCCAATATCCAGATCTTTTGCATAACAGAGAAAAAATAATAATTTTATTCCCTTAATAGTGCAAATATCACTGTGGCTTATCAATAGGAGCAGCCTCATGGGTTACTTTCTCACACAGAAAAGCCTTGACCCCTCTGAGCCCTGTGGGTGGGTTATTTCTGGCCCAGCAGCACAGTAACTGGTGAGTGCAGAGCTGATGGGTGCCCTGGAAGCAGTGCAGGGACTGGCAGCAAGTGGCATCCCCTGCACTGCACAGGGCCAGCTGATTTTGAGCAGATACAGGGAATCTGGTCGTCTCACCCTGCCTGCATCCCTTGCCCTGGTGCATCCCTGGCCTCACACAGCTCTGGTTCTGGTGTGTTTTTCTACTGGAAGCCAAATGTCCATCTGAAACTGGCTCATCTTCCCAGGAAATCTCTCTCTATTACTAGGGTGCCCTAAAGGATTTTTTGGGAAACAATGCAGGAAAAAGTGCAACTGTGCCAACCGGGGTCGCTGCCATCGGATTTACGGAGCCTGCCTGTGCGATCCTGGCTTGTACGGCCGGTACTGCCACTTGGGTATGCCTGTCCTCATCCTCGCTGTCCTCGGATCCCAGCCTTCCTGGGCGCCGTCCCTGGGAAGGGCCGTCCCTGGGAGGCGGTTTCTGTGCCTTGCCCTGGGTCTCTGACCGGCTTTTCCCTCCCTCCAGCCTGTCCCAGGTGGGTGTTCGGCGCGGGCTGCTCGGAGGAGTGTCGGTGTGTGCAGCCCCACACGCGGGACTGCGACAGGAGGGACGGCTCCTGCCACTGCAAGCCCGGCTACCGAGGGGAGCGCTGCGAGACCAGTGAGTGCCCCGGGGTGTTCCTGGAGCATCCCCCTTCCTCCTCCCACAGCCTCTTTCTCCCGCATTTATTTTTTGGGGGGAAAAGCTCTGCTTGCTTTCTGCCCTCCTGGGCTGTCTCACCTCTCGTTCCCTTGGGAGCACACCTTGCTCACACTCGGTCACGTTCAGCTGTCACCAGGACCTGTGTGGGGTGGGGACACCTGTAACTGCTGGTGGTGGAGCTCAGGAGGGTGCTCAGCACGTGGGGCTGCAGCTCTGCTGGGGCAAGGAGTAATTCCAGACCTTTCTCTTGAACTGTGGCTGCTCGCAGGCTGTGACCCTGGCTACTATGGGGATGGCTGCAAGAAGAAGTGTGGCTGCTCCCCAGGAGTGTCCTGTGACCCTGTCACTGGAGAGTGCCAGAAGGAGTGTCCCCCAGGGTACCACGGGGAGAACTGTGACCAAGGTAAGGCAGGGCCATGCAGGGCAGCTCTGCACATGCTGCAAGCTCACCGTTCTCGCTCATGTTTTTCTTCACAAAGCAACTCAAAGGCACTTCCAGAATCCCCTGAGAGCCCCAGTCCACAGCAGATGATCTGGTGAGTGGCAGGTTGAGGCTTTAGAGGCCATGGGAGCTGCCGTCTGCAGGTGTCTGGGAGATGCTGCTGTCTCCTTAAAGCAGGGGGGAAGGATTCCTCATGCAAAATGACCCTGATTCAGAAAAGGAGAACAGGGTCTCACTTCATCCTGCCACTTGGACATCTCTGTGTTGGTAGATGAAGGTGATAGGGATCTGATTATCTTTCCCTGCTCTTGATGTCTTTTCCCTTCCAGACAATCTGTGCTCAGCACAACACTATCACATTTTCTGCTTCGTTCTCTGTTACATATTGAAACTCTGATCTGCAAGTGCAAAAGAGGATTTTACATTTAATTTGCATTAGGATTTAAACTTCTGCCTCTGTATGAACCTGCCAGAGCAGTTTTGTGCTCTTCACATGCAGGGCCACTTGACAGGATGGTGACTGAACTGCCCAGCTCTGTGTGTGTCTGACAGTGTCCAACACTCAGGCTCTGAGGGTGCAGATTTCAAGATCCTGGGGATGATTGGGGTGGTTGGGGTTTTAGAATGCTTGACTTTGTTCAGACAAAGGTGCTTTGAGTGAACCTAAAGGCAGTGAGTCATTGGCACGAGGTGATTACAAAACATGAACACAGTGCTTGGAAAAGAATGACTTCTGCCAACCACAGAGAGGAGCAGAGATTGAAAAATCAACCTCCTCCTGCTCTTGTGGGGCTGGATCCTCCTGAATCCACTTCAGCTGGTTGGGTCCCACAGAAAATGCAAAAAGCTGGACTCTTGGAGTCCACACTTGAAGACAGACTGCAGTAGAAGACACTGCATGGAGAGGCTGGCGGTGGCCAGAATCTGGATTTGGATTCAAGCATCTTGGGAGTTGCTGCACTAACTGCTGTTTAGCCAAGCACTCTATCACCCCAGCCCAGAAATGACAACTGTGAGCCTCATTAATCTGCCAGCACAGGGTGATGGTGCAGAGCCCCATCTCCGACAGAACATGGGCTGTTGGTCAGAACGAGAGCTGCAGTCACAAAAATCCCAATGCAAGTGCTACCAGAGCTCCATAGGAGGAGAGAAGGCAGCAGCTCCTGCAGGGCTGTGTCCCTGGCAGGGTCTGGCAGCCCTGAGCCCCCTGTGGTGGGACACTGTGGCCTCCGGAGCCCCAGAGCCCCCGGAGCCCCCGAGCCCCCGGCGCCTTGGCGGGCTGGGCGCTCCCGCTTGGGATATTTTTAAAAAGAGTAAGAAAGGAGCTAAAGCCTGTAGGGGGGAGTCACAGGAAATAACACAAATATTTGTATAGAAATAGTAGGCTGTTGGCTGTTGTTGGGATCTGGAAATTATTAAAGGGTGAAGACAAACATCTGCCATCAATTAGCAAAGAGGAGGAATAACAAAACCTCCACTGTGTCACTGGAAGTCGAGGCGCTGGTGTGCGTTTCCTCCCTGGTTTGCGCCGGTGTGTTTGCCTCTGCTGAAGCCTTACAGAACATTGGCTTTGGGGAGAGTGGAGCTCTTGGGGGAGCCTCAGAGAGGATTGAAGGATCTTTGGGTCTGAGCCCCTCGGTCTGCACGTCACTACCTGGCTGCTAAATTGTGTCACGGGACACAAGAGGGAAGGAAAAGCGCCTATTCCTCATATGGATGAGGATGCTCCTTCTTTCCTTTACATCAGTGTCCTGCTGCAAACCTGGCTGCTTCTTAAAATCCTGGTGCCCAGATCCTGTAGACATTCAGGTGGGGAGGTAAAAGCCCTCACAGGATCTTACAAAAGTCAGAGGTGGTTCAGTTTGGGGATCCCCTCTCCATGTTCTGCACCCCAGCCCAGAGAGAACAGAGTGGCTTGGGAAGTCATTATTTTGCAGAGTCCTGTCCACAGATTGGAGACCTCCAAGATTGTCAAGTCCAGCCTTTGACAGAGCACCACCATGCCCACTAAATCACAGGCACAGTCCTCCCTGGCAGCGTGAGAGCCTCTCACAGCCGGGCTATTCCCTGCAGACTCCTTTGAGCTGTGGGGCTGGGTTGGTAAAAACCTCTGGGGCATCTCGGGGGGGGGGCAGTTCTCACCCTGCTGTTCTCCCTGCAGAGTGCCCCCAGGGGACGTTTGGGGCAGGCTGCAGGTGGCCCTGTGCCTGTGGAGGAGCTCCCTGTGACCCGAGCACGGGGCAGTGCCACTGCCCGCCCGGCTGGATGGGACACGACTGCGGCCAAGGTGAGCAGAGCGGACGTGCTGAGGGAGGGATTTGGGTGTAGAGCTGATATTTTGCTTTTGCTAAAGTTAGTTTCAAAAATATGCAGTGCAATTAGAATAATCTTCGTGGAAAATTAGAGAAAGTGCAGCTTTTGATGGTAAATTCTAAACAACAGCCTGGGCCAGCTCTGCTCTGCTGTCGAAGCTGAGGGAAGCACAATGAAAAGGATGAAGATATTTTCAGTTGTTGCAGTCCTTAACATAGGAGAGGAATCTTCCTTTACCAATGTGTGTTTTTAATTGCCTTCACCAGATTACTCCTTAGCTGCTGGAAAACTAGAGAATCTGAAATTAAAAGCTTTTTCATGATTGTACATTATTACAGCAGCTGGAAGGCATTAGTCACATATAGATGTCCTGCTCCGAAGGGTTTGGCTGAGCAATAAAACCACACATGCACAGTGCTTACCATACATTTCGAGCTGCCTTTTTTTCCAGGCCCTGGAGCAGCTTAGGAGCAGTTGGAGAAGGATTCTTGCCCTGGTTTTAGCAGTTCTTAGCCTTTTGCTTCTCCTGTGCAGCTCACAGCAGGTCTGGGAGCACTGACGTGCTGTCCATGGTGTGACAGCAGCTGCAGGAACCCTGTGCCAGCAACACCATTTCCCAGAGAGAAGCCCTTGGAGCTCCCCATGAGTGGATGCAAATCCAAAATTGACATGGAAGTCCTGGAGTGAGCTCAGAATAGCACTTACCAAGGGCTTGCACACTGTTTGTGGAACAAGCAAAGCCATGCTGTGCTCTCTAGTAGCCACGTGTTGCTGAACAAAAGTCCACGTCTTGCATGAAGGAGAAAGGAAACCCGGAAAACAGGCTTTTCCCTCTCCCACCTGGGCTCTGATCCTAATGCTCTCTTCTCTCTCTGGCCATGCTCCAGCCTGCCCTGAGGGTCGCTGGGGGCCGGGCTGCCAGGAGATCTGCCCCGACTGCGCCAACGACGCCCGCTGTGACCCCGCCACAGGAGCCTGTGTGTGCCCGCCCGGCTACACCGGCCAGCGCTGCCAGGACGGTGAGTGTGGGCTGCAGCAGGTCCCTCAGCCGGGATGTCCATCTCCAGCTGGAATGAGGGCTATTTTGGTGGACCTGCTCCAGCCAGCAGAGCACCCAGCAGTGGACTAGACACTGCCATGCTCAGCAGAGCAGGCTGAGCACTGGGCACATCTCTGTCACCTCATTCCTTGGGGCATGGGTCCCAAGGCTTCCCTTAAAGTCCCTCTAGTCCCATCTCCACAGGGGTTCTTTCTACGTCAGCAGAAAGGGAGGCAGATGAGTCCCCTGTCCTGTCCAGCCCAGAGCTGAGCACCCATGCTCAGAGTACCAGTGTCAGTGCCTGTGGCTCTGCCCAAGCACCACGGTGCCCTCAGGTCTGTCAGGATGGGGTTCCAGCAGCCATCTGCACTCAGTCCCTGTTTCCCTTGGCAGTGTGTCCTCCAGGCTGGTTCGGCTCCGACTGCCAGCTGAGCTGCAGCTGTGGGAACGAGGGACATTGTCATCCGGTGACGGGGATGTGCAGCTGCCCACCTGGCTGGATGGGGCACAACTGTCAGAGAGGTACAGCATCACTCCTGGACCACACTAACCTGCTGTGCCAATCTGTGTTGTCATTGCTCCATTCTCATACTTGTGCTCTGCCTCTGCCAGGGAAATCTCTCTAAAATCCTTTCCTTTTCTCTGCTCTGTCCAGCTGGTGCCTCTGGCCTTTGTGCAGGAGGCCGGTTTGCAGAGTGAATTCACATCAAATGTGAGCCAGCGTGGCACCCGCCCTCGCTGTCCCCCTGGGCTCTCTGCCCAGGGACCTCCAGCTGTGTTTATGCCCAAGGGAACGTTGTGAGGGACGGGAGGGCAGCGCTGTGCCCGCTCTGTGCTCTCGTGGAAGCCGAGCAGGTGGGGCACACAAGTGATGGGGTCCCTCCCGTGTTCCAGCCTGTGACGTGGGGCACTGGGGCCCCGACTGTGCCCACGCCTGCAACTGCAGCAACAGCGACGGCAGCTGCAGCGCCGAGACTGGGCAGTGCCTCTGCGACGCCGGGTACACGGGCGGCCACTGCGAGCACAGTGAGTGCTGCCCCTGTGCCCTTACACCCAGCCAGCTGCTGCACATGTGCTCCAGGGACAGGCATCGGTCCGCTCCAGTCCCCATGCCCGGGCTGTGATGCCCTCCCAGTCCTGATGCCAGACTGGCTCCATCCCGAGGGTGGTGGGGTGACGTGGGTACATATCTGTAAGGGGCAGGGTAGAACCCACTGGTCGTTATAAAAAAGCAGCTGCCAGATACTCTTACTCCGTTCAGAACCTGGTCCCCTGCCATAGCATAGCTTCCCTGGGACCCTGGAAAGGACAGGGTCCTCAGTCTCGTTTCCTTCTGCTTTCCAGAGTGCCCAGAAGGATGGTTTGGGCTGAGCTGTCGGCACCAGTGTCAGTGTGAGAACGGGGCAGCCTGTGACCATGTCAGCGGGGCCTGCACTTGCAGCCCAGGCTGGAGAGGAACATTCTGTGAGCACGGTGAGTACCTGCACCTGGAGACCATGACCCACACCTCCATCCCACAGGGTTTGTGCTCCCTGTCTGACTTGACTATCCTGTTACAGCAAAGGGAATCCCTCAGGATGGTCATGGGGTGAACCACATGTCCTCAAGCTGCTGTCTCTGCTTTTAATTCTGGAGGGAAAATGGCTAGGAAAAAAAAAAAAAGACTAACAAAATGAAAAAAAGGAGGGAATGCAGTGGATGCACAGCTGCCCTGGTCCCTGTGTGTACGTGTTGCACACAGGATCTTGGAACAGCCTCTTGGAAGGGTCCCTGGTGCAGGGATCCCACCACCAGCCTGTGCAGTCTCTTGGTGGTCAGGAACTTCATGGCATTCGTCTCCTGATCCACCACAGCTCTGTCCTGTACCTGGAATGTCCAGAGTGGATATGGATCTAATATCTGCTGCCCTGCCAGGAGGGAGCCCTTCACAGTGGCACCACACCAGTGCAGCCTTATATCAGCCAAAAAGGCTGCCAGGAAGCACTTTTTCTGCAGGGAGGTTTCCAGCTCTGTATAGTCATTTTGTGAGGATTTCTCCTTTGTTTTCCACAGCCTGTCCCGATGGATTTTACGGACTGGAGTGTCGGCAGACCTGTGACTGCCTGAACGGTGCCCACTGTGACCCTGTGACGGGCCAGTGCCAGTGTCCCCCCGGCTGGACCGGCCCCCGCTGTGGCCAGGGTGGGTGTCTGCGGCCAGGCCCCCCCTCTGTGCTGGGGTGGGATGGAGAGAGGCAGAGCTGCCCTCCACGGGCACTCTGGAGCCAGTGCTGTCTCTTTGCTGCCAGGTCATAGGAACCAGAGGTTTGGGTGACTGTTCCCCATCTGTGATTTTCTCTGGGTGGAGTTTAATTCTGCATGGCAGAGGAGTATTTGGATTCAGACTGGGAGGCTCTGGCTGAACACACTGTGGTTGGATGCAATGAGGGCTTGGGCATTCAGCAAAACTGCTTCTAAATAGATTAAAAGGATGTAACTCTGATGATAACAGTGTCAGGGTGTCATCACCTGTAGGACACATTATTTCTCCTTAGCACCATAAGACCACCTCACACAGCAGCCGAGCACCAGCGCTGGGTCCTCTCCCAGCCCCTGGGATGGTTGGCAGGAGCTTGGCTGCTGTAATTCCCACCCACTGCCTCACAGTCCTGCCTGCTCTGCTCCCCCTCAGCATGCCAGGAGAACAGGTACGGCCAGGACTGCAGCCAGACCTGCCACTGCTTCAACAATGCCACCTGCAGCCACGTCAGCGGCCGCTGCCTCTGCACTGCCGGCTGGACGGGACCCACGTGCCAGCAAGGTAATGCTTCCCAACCCAGCCTCTTCCCCTGCCAGCCTGTGTAGGGATGCCATTCCCTGGGGCGGGTGGAGTGCCATTCCTGGGGTGGAATGCCACTGCCTCTTACCAAATGTCATCCTGTGGGCAGCTGAGCAGCCTCAGGGGGGTCATGGGCTCCTCTCACTGCAGCAATAACAGTGTTGGTTTGTACCAGGCTGTCCACCCATGGCTCTGGCGGCTGCTGCAGTGCTGTGCCTGCCTTGAGCTGTGCCCTGACTGGCACGTTTGTCCTCCTTTTCCCTCAGCCTGCCCGGCGGGTTCCTTTGGGAAGAACTGCCTCCAGCGCTGCCTCTGCCAGAACGGCGGCACGTGTGACCCGGCCACGGGGGTCTGCGCTTGCCCCACGGGCTGGACCGGGCTGGCCTGCGAGCTGGGTGAGGAGCAGCCAGGAAACCAGCCCCGGGGCAAACGTGTCCTGGTCTGGACTGGTTTTGCTCCGAGGGCCGGGGGTGGGGTGCAAGGGGCTGGTGGTTCGTGTGAGTGGGGTGGTGGGTGCTGGAGTGGTGGGAGCTGGGGCGGTGGGTACAGGACAGTGTCTCACCCTGTGCCCCTGTGCCAGCCTGTGCCCAGGGCCAGCACGGGGCCGACTGCCAGCAGCGCTGCGAGTGCCACCACGGGGGGCTGTGTGACCGCCGGACGGGGCAGTGCCTCTGCCAGCCCGGCTGGACGGGGGACAAGTGCGAGAGCCGTAAGTGGGGCAGGGGGGGCCTGGCCGTGGGCATCGACGGCTGTGTCAGCACCCAGTGCTGCACAGGGAGGGTCTGGGGGCCAGGGAGGGCTTAAGCAAAGACATAAAATTCCGATTTCAGCACTGCAGAGAGCTGTCAGGTGCCCTGGTTTTGCCCTCTACTGTGCTTTCTCCTTCCATAGAATTGCAGAGCGGTTGGGGTTGGAAGGGACCTTAAAGATCCTCCGGTTCCAACCCTGTCTAGTTCCTTTCCTCTGGAGGCTGTCCTGAAAGTGGTGGTGCACACACAGAGGCTGCACAGCAGCTGGTGGGAGAGGGATGGGGTTCCCAAGGGCCCAGACCCCCAGGCATCAGTTCCAAGTGGGGCTGAAGGCAGGACAGCAATCCTCCGTGGTGAAACCTAAGTGCCAAGTGAGGATCTTCCTCTCTCCCATTTATTATAAGGGCATCAGAGGATCATTTCCTTTCCGTTCTTCCTTCCATGTGTCCCTGTTTCACACTGACCCTCAGGGCCTGGCTTTGGTCCCAAGTCCCAGTAGATCATTACATCAGTCCCTCGGTGGTTCCTGTGCCTGCTGTATCCCTAGAGGTGACACACACCCCCTGGCAATCCCCTTCCAATGAGGAAGTGTTGAAAAGGCTCTTGGCCTTCAGAGCAGCAACAGGGACTTCATCACGTATCAGCACACCAAGAAGACGCCCACAGGCTTCTTCCCTTTCAGGAGTCACGAGATCTCTTGGCACATCCTTATATCTGGGTGTAAAGTTCGGAGCCAGCACTTTAGTCTGGCACAAGGGAGCTGCCACCAGCCACTCTCAGGTTTCTTGCTGGGAATGTTTTTCCCTTCAGGAGGCTGGAAACATCTTGCCTGGCAGCTGAGGCTTGGCCACACAACTCATCTCACTGGATCGTGCCACATCCCAAGGCACAGTGTCCCCTCCCAGCGTCCCCACACCTACAGCCCCCAGCAGCAAGGTCCCTCAGCACCAGGCAGTTATAAGCAGTTCTAGAATTTCTTTCAATATAAATTAATGAAAAAACCCACCCCAAATGAAGAAATTATATTAATTTTTAAAAAACCCAAGCTAGAGTCCTGTCCTTGTCCAAGGCTGTATTTCAAGCTGCCTGTGTGAGCACACAGTGAGGTGTGTGCCTACAGAAACTGCTGGCAAAAAGCTCCCATGGCACTTTTTTTGGGTGTAACTTGTCCTCTCTCCCATTTTCATCCCTGCAGCTTGTCCAGAGGGGCGGTTTGGGGCACGCTGTGAGGAGCTCTGTGACTGTGGGGACAGTGTTTCGTGCCACCACGTCACCGGCGCTTGTGACTGCCCCCGTGGCTGGAGAGGCCGGCGCTGTGAGAAGGGTGAGGAACATCTCTGGGCAGGGGGAACCCAGGGAAACTGAGGCTCCTACAGAGTCTGGGGGGGGGGAGGGAAGCTTCATTTTTAATAAGAATTACAAATTGTGGCAAAACATTTTGAGGCTGTGACACAAGGTGCTGCCAGGCTGGCTCGGCACTGTGGGCAAGCACTGGGGCAGGGGCTGCCCCTGGGGCTCTGATGCCTTTCGGGCATTAACCATAACTTAAGACCCAGGCAGGAGGCTCACATCCCAATGTTTGTTTTCCCACAGCCTGCCTGCCAGGTTCCTTTGGGAAGAACTGTGCCAGCCGCTGCACCTGTCCCCTGGGAGTGCCCTGCCACCACGTCACCGGCCAGTGCGGCTGCCCCCCGGGACTGACCGGCTCTGGATGTGAAAAATGTACGGAGACGGCAGGGATCCTCTCACAGCTCTGCTGACAGGCTCTGGAGACGGCAGGGATCCTCTCACAGCTCTGCTGACAGGCTCTGGAGATGGCAGGGATCCTCTCACAGCTCTGCTGACAGGCTCTGGGAACGTGACGGGTCAAGCAATTCCTACAGAAAATGCAGGGGGGAAAAAAGAGCGAGAGCTGTGCCAAGGAGCAACTCCCAGTCTGGCAGCTGGGTGCATGCCTGCAGAATGTTAGCGGGGCAGAGGGAGCCAAGTGGGAAATCAGAGCTGGGTATTTATCCAGAGGATTAGCAGTAAATCAGTATTAAAATGAGCTCCTGTGAGTATGAGCAAGTCTGGAAGAGACAGAGGCATGTGAGCACATTCCTTACCCAGAGGACAGGGCTGGATTTGCTGTGTCCATGTGTGGAGTTTGCGGAAATGCGAGGGCAGGTAGGGCTGGCACAGAAAACAGCATCTAATACCTTTAAGTACTTGGTTTTCCTTTCAATCCAAGTCTTTCCTGGAGTCAGGGAAGCTTTTGCATGTGGGTCCCTTTGCTTTTTGGGTGGCAGAGAACTTTTGCTGTCATAAAAAGCTCCCTAAATCCTGGCTAAAAATAAAAAAAAAAAAAAGAAAAGCCTTGCACAGGGGGGTGGGATAGCTCCTGACCACCTTGGTGGCCCCTCTCCTTAACAGCCTGCCTGCCTGGAACCTTCGGAGAGGGCTGTGCTCAGATCTGCCAGTGTTCTGGAGCCACCCAGGAATGTCACCCAGTCACCGGTGCCTGTGTCTGTGCCCCCGGCTTCCACGGCCCCTCCTGCCAGCTGGGTGAGTCCTGCTCCGTTCCCTCTGTGTCCCTTTTGCAGGTTGTCCCGTCCCGAAATCCCAGTGCTGTGAGTGATGTATGTCTGTGTGTGTGTGTGTGTGTGAGCTCCTGCAGCTTGTTGAGCTGTGGGTGCTTTGGAGCTGCTCTGTGTGACAGAGTGGATCAGAGCTCCAAGGACAGTGCCAGCCTGGCACAGACCCGCTCCCAGCAGAGCTCTCTGCCTGCTCTCTGGGGAAACAGCCGTACCAACACACCTGTGGGTTTTCCCAGGATGTCTGGACCTCGAGCTGTACTTTTAGACGCAGAGGCCGCTGTTTCTTCTCCCCCCAGAGTGCTCCCCTGGGTGGTACGGCCGTGACTGTGAGAGGCCGTGCCAGTGCAAGAACGGGGCCCGGTGTGACCCTGCCACGGGGATGTGCCACTGCCCGCCCGGCTACATCGGCGCCGACTGCGGCATCGGTGAGTGCCGGCTCAGCCGGAGGGGTGGGAGGCGTGGGAGCTTCCTCAGGGGGAGGGGAGCGCTGGGAGCTCCCCCAATTCCCACCTGCCAGCCCTGCTTTGGCCTGACCAAGGTTTTCCTCCTGCAGGATGTCCCGCTGGCCGCTATGGGCAGGACTGTGCGGGGCTGTGCTCCTGCGGGGCCGGCGCTCCCTGTCACCCCGTCACCGGGGACTGTGTTTGCCCACCCGGCAGAGCTGGGCCCACCTGTGAGCAAGGTAACCACCAGCCGTGGGCTCGTCCCGCAGGACGAGCAGGCGCTGCAGGCAGCGGGTTGGGAAAGGTCCTGAGTGGGAACTGATTGCCTTGCCCTGAGATCTCTGCTCGTGGTCCCTGTGCCCACCACCACTGCCTCTTGTCCCGCAGGCTGTGAGAAGCACCGGTATGGGGTGGGCTGCCAGCAGACCTGCTCCTGCCACAACGGGGGCCTCTGTGATGCAGCCGATGGCTCCTGTTCGTGTGCACCTGGATGGACAGGGAAATCCTGCGAATTAGGTAAACCTGACCTGGATTGATCGTCCTGCACCAACCAGGAACTGCAGAGCTTGCTCCATCTGTTCCATACTGGGTCCAGTTTCTGTTTTCCCACCTGTGCCTGTAGTGCCTTATCACGGCTCTCTGAAGTGCAGGAGTGGGGCCGCTGAGCAGCTCTGCCGCTCCCTCTCCCCTGCAGAATGCCCGCCGGGAAGGTTCGGTGCCGACTGCCAGCTCCAGTGCCCCTGCCTGCACAACGGCACCTGCGACCCGGGGACGGGGACCTGCCGCTGCCCCGCGGGGCACTACGGGCCCCTGTGCGAGCACAGTGAGTGGGACAGTGGGGACACCTTCGGCTTTGGGCAGAGGGTGGTTCCATAAAGCTCATCTGGAGAGCAGGACCGCGGGACACGGGTCTGAGACACCAGTGGGCTCTTCCTTTTTCACTGGAGTTCTCAGCAAACCCTGCTTCTGACCTCTGCACGACCCCACAGGCGCAGCAGTGCCATCCCAAGGCAGTTGGGCACACACGTCCCCACTGCCCAGGGGAGCTGGGCACTGAGCAAACACTGCAGAGCTGAACGTGGTGCTCTGTGACCGTGGGCGCCTCTCGAGGAGAAAAGCTCACTGCTTCTCTCTGCTGGGCCCCCGGGGCTCTGCTGCAGCTCGGCTCCGTTCCACCCGCCTGCCCTCTAATGAGCTGTCTCCATCGCAGGTTGTCCCGCGGGTTTCCATGGAGTGGGCTGCCGGGAGCGCTGTGACTGTGAGCACGGGGCCGGCTGTGACCCGACCAGCGGCCGCTGCCGGTGCCCCCCCGGGCTCCATGGGGAGCGATGCCACGCAGGTACTGCCCACCCACCCTCCTGCTCCCCGGGGCACCCCGAGGGGCGAGCCCGAGGGCAGCTGCTCTATCCCTCCTCTCCAACAGGCTGCAAGGAAGGAACGTACGGCGAGGGGTGCCAGCGGCTCTGTGACTGTGCTGGGGATGTGCCCTGTGACCCGGCCACGGGGCAGTGCCTGTGCCCGCCCGGGAAAACCGGTCCCACGTGTGCTGCAGGTGAGCTGAGCCACAGAGGGGCAGGGGAGGGAGGGCACTGAGACGGGGGGAGGGATAGTGAGCTCGAAACTCTGTCTTAAAATGAATGCAAATCCCCTTTTGTTAGAGCTCAGTCCTCATGGAAGGGGTTTTTATTCTGGGGTGTGTCCCCTCATAGAGCAAGAGGGCACCTGAATAGCAGCACTCACCTCTCCAGCCTCTGTTTGTAGCCAGACCTGAACACAAACACTCCTTCAGCCTCCAGAGCCCTTGTTATTAGATCAAAAGGCTGAGGATGAAACACAGAAGGAATACCTTGTTTTTCTGGGGGTACCCTGATGTTCCATGTCATCAGAGCTCAAGTGCAGGCTGGCAGGGGGGAGGGCAAAAAGCTCTCAGCCCTGTTCTGCTCTCAGCCTCCCCTGCAAGCTCTGCCTGCTGCATCCCGGGAAAGGTCTGAGCATTCCTGCTTGGCTGCTGCCACAGGCTCAGGCCTGAGCACCTCTGTGCCCTCTGCAGACTGCCGGCCCACCCACTTCGGCCCTGACTGCCACCTGACCTGCCAGTGTGCCCCCAGCAGCTCCTACTGCAACGCTCGGAACGGGCAGTGCCTCTGCCTGGACGGCCACACGGGACCCACGTGCAGGGAAGGTAAATGCAGGTGCCAGGAGAGCCACTGGCTGTGCCTGGGGGGGAATCCCTCTGCAAAACCTCTGGGACGTGGTGCCCGTGCTCGGAGGGGCAGCGAGGACTGACCTGTCCTGTTTCCCTTCCAGCCACACAGTCCCTGGGACCCACCAGGTCACCACCACCCCTGGAGGGGCTCTGGCTGGCAGAGCACTAGATCCTGCTCCCGGGATTGCTCCCCCAGTGGGACCAAGCAGCCACCTGAAGAAGCCAATGACCTGTTAAGGAACTCATTTATGAGCTGCATGAGCAGCTTTCATCTCCTCACAGCCCCAGCTGCTGCCTTTGGGGTTGACTGAGCGAGGCTGCAGCGCCCAGTATAACCAGTTCACTGCGCCAGCACGGGCTGGCCGTGAGGACACGGGTGCCAACACCAGTGCAGGCCTTCAGCCAGAGACCAGAGGGACCAGTTCAGAAGGAATCAGTTCTGGTTGGGGGACAGTGGACTTTGGCAGCTCGTGACACATTGCTGACCTTCATCTTCTGGGTGCTGGGCTTGGGGAGGGGGCTGAAAATGTGGGCCAAATCAGGTATTTATGCACCAATATTTATGGGAAGCTGGACCACAGAGCATTGTCAGGACTGATGGCTGACCCTGCCCGGCTCTCCTGGGCTTGGGCCTCCTGTGGGTGTACTGCCTCACTTGAATTATTTTTTAAATTTGATTTTGCAGTGTTGTTTTACTGTAAATAACTACTTGCTGTGGGGGAACACGTTGGGCTCCTTGCCCACAGTGCAGGCTGTGCTGGAGCCTGTTTATTATGCCAGGGGTTTATCAGCCCATGGAGCTGCCCGTGTCACCTACTCCACCGAAAAGGAAGCTTAAGTGTGGTAATCGAAGATACTGTGTGGAGACAAAGCACTTGCACCACCTGGTCAATGCACATCCCTATGGGAGTGTCCTCCCCCAGCCTTGGACTCTGAGTCATAGCCAGGGGCTGGGAATGGGTAGAGGCAGGAAAAGCAGCTGGCTCCTGGCTTGGTGATGGGTATGAAGTCATGGCAAGGCTTTGGCTGCCGCCTACAGCAGCAGGGAATGCCACCACTCCAATGCCACTGCTCCAACACCATCACCCTGGCCAGGGCTCCCCCAGCCCCTGAGCCCCTCTGTCTGTTTGCACAAAGCTCTTGGGCAGGGGAAGCCTGAGAGCCAACACTGTCAGAGGAACCCTGGCTCTGCAGAGGGGAGGGACAGCCCTGTCCCATCCCACCCCACCCCATCCCATCCCCACTGTGGCAGCTGCAGCACAGCCCTGCCCAGGCACTTGGCCTTTAAATTATTCCCACAGGGGCCAACTGAAAATAATAAAAGAATTGTTTCTTTTCCTGATGGAATTTATTTTAAGCTGTATATAACTTGTAATTTTGGGCTAATTCCTTTCTTATTTTATTTCTTCCTTAACAGTATTTTTTGCATTAGGTATCATTCTTGTGAAGAAACGATGTTAATATAAGTATGTAGTGAAGGACCAAAATCGTGTCGTTAAGGTTGGATGTTGGATGATGGATAACCAGGGAGTAGGAACATTTTGTCCATGTGCCAAATGCCCCCAGATCAGTCCTGCCAGTCGTGCTGCCAATTCTCCAGACAATCACCCCTTGGGTTCCCTTTGCCTTGAAGTGCCCGGGGCGTTGGAGGAAGGTTCTAGTGATGGCCTTGGCTGGTTGGGAACCAGCACCAGCTCCCCCAGTGCAGGAGGAGGAGAAAAAACACTCTGCCTCAATGGCCTTGCTCCAGGAGAACATGGAAACAGCCTTAAGTGTGGGGATGGATCCATCCCATCCTGCTCCAGCATGAAGCTGAGCTGCAGCTCCGTGACTCCTGAAGCTCAGAGCAAACCATGTGTCTGAGCATGGGACCACAGCAACCCTGTATCTGTATTTTTATATAATGTGTTTTTTTCCTGTTCATATTTCTTAATACAAATTGTTTGTTTCCTCTTTTCACGCTCTGTCTCTCTTTTGATCATATCTCCTTTAATTTAGCACTTATGAAAAATGTTTATTTCTCCACAGAAGAAGAAACAAACAGAAAGCCTGGCTAGGTTTCTATTTAACTTGTCTCAGTCAAATAAATACACCTGAAACCTGCTCCAGGTGACAGCAGACTGTTAGTCAGGGGCTCTGGAGGGTGTTTCCTGAGATGCACATATATATTTGAGAACATGCAGAGGCCGCAGTGATGCCACCAGCAGAATGAAGCTTCTTTTTAGGGCTCATAGTAGGACAAATCTGGCTCCTTGGAAGTGACACGGAGCTGTGCTCAGGGACACCAGTCCCCACTAACAGGGAACATGCTGTTCAGTGGGATCCACGAATTTATTGTTACCCCAATTAAGCCTTTAACAGTTTGATCAGAATAGACATTACATCAATGCTGCCCAAAGCTGGCAGTGTGTGGGGCCATCTCACCCTGAAATTGTAGCTGCCATGTCCCCTGCATGGGGTGGGAGGGCTGAGCACGGCCAAGCCCCTGCCAGAGCCCCCTCCCCGCCTTGGGAGGAGGGAAAGGCAGGTGGGAGCTGCAGCATTGCTTCTTGTCAGGCCCCTGCTTCCCCCTCTGGCTGGAGCATCCCATTCCTGGCCCCAGAGCTGACTCCATGGGAACAACTCTGGCATCCAGTAATTTACCATCACCTCACCTGTGGAGGTCATGGCTGTGCCCAAAGGGACCAAGAATTATTGGGAGGGAAGAAAAAAAATAAAATAGCAGCAGGAGGGAAAACTGGGTCAAGGAATAAGCTGGGCATAGATTTAAGTTGTAAAAACTCCTGGTTGGGGTGTGCTCTCCCCTGACCCAGCTCTCCCCATGCCAGCAGTGCAGCTGCTGCCAGCGGGCACTGGCCCAGGTGACAGCAGGGACGGGGATGGCAGCGCAGGCACCTCACACGGCCCAGAACAGCCACATTTTTTTCAGCCTGAGCCAATTCCTCGGCTGCTCCCAGAGCCTGTTCCGGGTCTCCAGTGCCAGCGGTGCCGGGAGCACTCGGGCGCCGGGTCCCACGGGAAGGAGCCGCTGTCACGGCCGGTACAGAGACCGGTCCTGGGTGATCAGATCTGCCCCTGAGACACACACAGTTCCAGGCAAAAGGCTCTCTGCTCCTTTCTCGCCACGGGCTCAGTCTGCAGAGGTTTGGAGGTCCCTGAGCAGTCCCCAGAGGGTCTCTCTGGCTCTCAGCCTACACGTCGGTCTCGATGCGCAGCCGCTCCATCCGGCGCACGTTGCCCTCCACGGCCGAGCGGCTCGTGATCCGCCGGGCACAGCTCTGGGGGAACCAGCCCCGCTCCCCGTCCCGGAGCCGCTCGCCCCAGCACCACCCTGGGAGGAGAACAGAGCAGGTGACAGCGATGAGGAAGAACCACAGCTCCCAGGGATGCACATGGAATGGGGCCGCACCACCCCCTTCCCACAGAGCTGCCAGCTACAGGCATCTGGGGAAAGCTTGGCTGGGGAGGAGGTTTCTGATTCACTGCCTGTTCTGGGGTGTATTTCTCTGACTTCTGAGGTCTCTTCCAGCCACAGCCTGCACACAGGAGTCACCCCTAATGAATGCAGCAGCTGCCCATGGCAGTGCCACCTCTGTTAGCCCCTGGAGCCCACTGTCACCTGCTGGGACACAGCACCAACTTCCTGCAAACTTCTGCAATTGCTGCAGTCTCAGTTCATGGGGATCACTGGAGGTTCCCCCCGCCCAGCTCTGCCAAGGTCAGCCTGTCCTGGCTGCAGCTCTGCACTCCCGACACTCACCGTCCTCTCCCCCCAGCACCAGGACCACGTCTGCCTGCTGCAGGGAGAGCTCGTCTGCCTCCTTGGCCAGGTAGGCACGGGTGATCTCCACCTGGCTCAGCTCTGTGGAGGACAGGAGACAGCAGGGACCAGTGAGAAGGCACAGCCAGGAGCCACAGCCTGGCACGTGTGGCCAGCCCCCTGCTCGGCTGTGACCCCCGGCTGCCCACCCCAGCACAGCACACTCCCTTCCTGTCCCTGCCCCTTGTCCCTCCCAGCTTGTCAGATCTCCTCTTACAACAGCCGAAGGCATACCCGGAATTCCACTGTGCCTCCCAGGAAATGTATTTAAGGTTAATTGTGGCTGACAACTTAATGTGAGGCAACTCCTGAGGAACAAGGCATGGTACTGGAGTTCTCCTCTCCATCAGCTCCTTTTCCAGCAGGAGCAGAGAATGAGGCAGAAACCTGTGCCTGCAAGGCTCCAGTGTAACAGGTAATCCTGGCAGAGCCAGGTATGTGGTACCTCCTTTGGGAGTGGTGTCAGGCTTCTCCTTCTCTCGGTGCATGAGCGCCGCAATCCACCGGGCCCGGTCACTCCTACCCGAGGGAAAGCCCATATCAGAGAAAGCCTTAGGGACAGAATCCCTGCTGCCAGCAGTAGCTGGGACATTCCCAGCAGGATGAAGGCTTTCCACTCACAGTGTCTCCGCCGACAGCATGATCTCCTCCCGCCGGCCCTCGCTGTCCTTCTCCAGCACCACCCGGAGCAGGTGCCCACCAGCCTTCCCGGGAGCAGGGGACAGTGGATCCGCGCTCTCCACCTTCTCCACGGTGACCTGGTCCAGCATGGCGTAGTTCATCACCGTGTAGTTCTCCTCGCTGTGGTACAGACAGGATTGGCACCAGAGCCGTGCAGGGTCTGAGCTCCCTCCCAGCTCCCAGCCCGGTGGATGAGGCTCAGCGGCACAGCCGGAGCAGCCGCCACAGGTGGGACATGAGCTGATGCCCAGGGTGGGACACGGCTCTGGGTACTTGCACAGAGGCAAAGCCAAGGGCAGTGGGACCAGGCACTTCCCATCTGGCTGACAAGGGATGCCTCAAAAAGGTCAGACCTGGGAAATCTCGCACATTTCTCAGGTGTGTGCTGCTCCGGAAACGGAGATTTAATCCCCTAGTTGTTTTCCAGGGAAAGGAAGGGCCCTCCTCCCGGCCTTACCTCTTCTTCTTGGTGATGATCAGGACGTCGTTGAACAGGAAGAGGTAGCAGAGCCGGCCGGCGCCGCGGCGGAAGATTCCCGCCTCCTCCGAGAGCAGCAGGTGCAGCTCCCCCCGCTTCCGCAGCCAGCGGGACACGGAGATCAGCGGGAAGGGCTGAAACAGGGCCAGGAGAAGGCTGACTTAGTGCCCTTGTCACCAGCAGCTGGCAAAATCAAGCCAAGAACTGAACCTGCAGTGGCCCTGGGGTCACTTGGGATGGACACACCACATGGTTTTTAAGCGCCTTTTCCAAAGGACTTCCCAGGAGCCACTTGGGAAACAGAGCAGCCGTGCAGCCTGCTCCAGCACAGCCCCTGAACTGCAGCAGCAGGTGACACTGTCATGGTTTTTCTGCAGCCCTTCAGAAAGCTGCCTGCATCCGACAGTCCAGTCAAGGCTTCCCAGAAGGATTCCCAGGACAGGCCTGACCTGCCTGAACAGCACACCCCAAAAGACTTCCCGCCACCACTTCCACAAGAACTCACCTTCTTCTTCCCAAATTCCAGCTGTTTCTGCAGGGTGTACATCTGCTCTGTCCTCTCCATAGCCCGAGCTCCCTCATTGCAGCTCTTGACCAGCTGGGAAGAGAAAAACATCACAAGGGAAGTGGAGAAAGGCTGGATGCTGAGCCCATCCATCTGCTGCATCAGTCCCAGTGCTCCTGGTCAAGGGTCACGGGCTGCCCCCCTTCCCTGAGCAGGAGAGACAGCCAAATCTTGGCACAGGCTTCAAGCCAGGTTTGGGAAAAGGCAGTGGGATGCTCTCCAGGAGAGAGAGATGCCACATGTGCTCTGCCTGGAGAAGGACTAAAGTGAACCTGCACCAAAATAAAGCTTCACCAAGGAGCAACACGAAGAGCAAGAATCAATCATCTGAGGAGAGGAGGTAAATGTAGGAGGAGGGACAATCAGACAGAGGGGAGGACACTGCTTGGATGTGTGAGTGGGACAGACCAGGAGCAGCAGGAACACACTGCCAAGGGCTGGGCTTCTGGGGGACAGAAGTGGCACACTGGTGGCCACAATCTCCGTGGCCCATTGCCCTCTGTGCCTGACCATCGGATGGGAAAGCAGAGGGAGATGAGATCCAGGAGCACAGACAGTGCTCCTGTGCTCCACACTTGGCTCTGCTTCACTCACTGCCCTCGGTGAGCAGGGGTTGGTCTGCTGGCACCTCGAGGGATCTTCCAAGAGGAGGAGATTCATGGAGATGATGACACCAAAGAGAAGGAAAAACATGGGCCAAAGAGGAAAGAAGAAAAGAGGACGAGGAAGAGGAAAAAGCAAGATCAGGTGGAAAAGGTGAGAAGGGAGAAGAGGTGTTCATCCAGCAGCTGTTTGGAGCAGAGGAGACTCAAGTGAACCGATGCTGGGAGGAGACTGAGAGGCTGGAATGTCAGGGTTGGAGCAGCACACTGGAAGGCTTGCTGGCAGTAGGACAGGTGGAGATGTGGCAGCCTCACCTTGCTGATGGCCTTCAGAGCCCGGGTGGCAGCTCCGTACGCTGCAGTGTGTGCGTTTGTTTGCTGACGGACCGTCTGGAATTCCAAGACAGGGCGCTTTAGTGACACTGCCCCACAGGGAATGGCACACCAGCTGCTTCCCTGGGATTTCAGGATCTGACATGGGCTCGAGCCGTTCCTGACAGTCAGCCTGGCAGCGGGACAGGCACGTGGCCAGAGCAAGGTTTAACAGTGCTGGGAGCTGTGACCCTGGTTCCTGCTGGGGCTTTCATGCCTCATAAGTGCCTGACTGGCACCCCAGCAGCCCCCTGGCCCTCACCCCTGCAGCCACCACAGACTGGGAGCAGTTACTGGATATCCCATTCCAACAGCTTTGCCATTTAAAGCAGATTTCCATGAAGAATGCAAGACCTGCTTTCCCTTCTGGGGCTGCCTGACCACTCAACAAACAGGACACTTGTGCCACCCTATCCTGGAACCCAGATATGGCACAAAG